GATTTGGAATAAGGTTGAATTCTCCAAAAAGCAGACAACAAGAAAGAAATTTGTTTTAGTTTGGGCTTCTATTCCTGTGTTAAAACACCATGACCAAAAGGAAGTTGGTGGGTTTGGGGGAGATTATTGGTTTACACTTCCATATCACTGTTCATCTTTGAAGGAAGTCAGGACAGGAACTTGCATAGGGCAGGAACCTGAAGGCAGGAGCTGAAACAGAAGCCTTGGAGAGATGCTGCTTACTGCCTTGCTACTTATGTGTTTGCTCAGCCTGCTTTCTCATAAAACCCAGGACCACCAGCCCAGGGGAAGCACCACCCAAAATGGGCTTGGCTCTCCTCTATCAATCACTAATTAACTTGTGCTATATAGCAGTAGTTTTCAGCCTTTCTGCTGCTGCTATCCTTTAATGCAGTTCCTCATGTTGTGTTGATCCCAACCATAAAATTAATTGCATTGCTACTTCATAACTATAAGATAGCTACTTTTATAAATTGTAATTTAAATATTTTTGGAGCTAGAGGCTTGCAAAGTAGGTCATGACCCACAGGTTAAGAACCTCTGCTTTACAGGTTTGCCTACAGCCTGATCTAATAGAGGTATTTAGGTATTTACTTAATAGAGATTCCTGGTTAGTTGGCTCTGTTGTTTTTCTTGTGGAGCTCCTGTCTCTTCCAGGTCCTTTTCTCTTTCCACTCAACACTCCCAATGCATTGCCCAGTGCTTGGCTTTGAGTGTCAGTATCTGTTTTGAAGCTCTCCTAGATAGAGCCTCTCAGAGGACAACAATGATAGTCTCCTGTCTACAAGTTTAGCAGAATGTCATTTATAGTGTCATTCATAGTGTCAGGGATTGGCACTCTCTTGATAGGGTGGGTCTCTGGGTGGGCCAGGCATTGGTTGGGCATTCTCTCAATCTCTTATCTATCTGCTCTATCTTTATCCCTGCATACTTTGTAGACAGGGTAAATTTTGGGCTGAAGTTTCTGTGGGTGGGTTGGTGTTCCCTGCCCTTTACCAGAAGACTATTCTGGGTAGAGGATGTCCTCTTCAGTCTCTATGGTCTCTGTTACTTAGGAGTATCTGCTTAAATCCCTCTCCTAACCTCCCAGAAACCTACCCTGACTTAGGTCTCTAGCTTGTCAAGAGATGTCTTAGTTTCTCTTTTCTCTACAGGCCTTCTGTCCTCTTGCTCTCTTCAGGCCTGTTCTCCACCCTCTTAACTCTCTGTGCCCCCTCTCCTGTCGTGTTCCCTCTCTTTAGCCATTACCTCTGTTTATTGTATCTCCCCTTTCTGAGTGAGATTTATGCATCCTCGCTTCGGTCCTCCTTACTACTTATCTTCTTTGGGAAAACAACAGAGCCAACTAAACAGGACCCAGAGTGGTTTGTGAGACTGAAGCATCAAGCAAGGACTATGCATGAACTGGACCGAGGCCTCCTACAAAGATGTAGCAGATGGGCAGCTTAGGCTTCAGGTGGGTACTCTAGTAAGGGAAGTGGGGAATGCATCAGACATGGACTTACTTGCAGCTTTTAGATCACTTTCCCCTGCCTTGACAGGCCACAGGGGAAGAGGACAAGTTCAGTCCTGATGCAAATTGATGAGCTGAGATGGATGGAAAAGGGAGCTTCCCTTTTCTGAGGAAAAGCAGAAGGGGGAGGAAGGAGGGAGACAGGGTGGAAATTTGAAGGGAGGAGGAAAGGGGCTACAAGGCTAGAGAGTGAATAAAATAAATAAATAAAAATAATCAAGGTTCCCTCCTCTCAGATGGTTTTAGTTTATGTCAAGCTGACATAAAACTAGCAAGCATAAGATCTTAGAAAGAAGAAACAATAGAAAGAAAAATGAGTCAGAAAAGCCACTGATACTCGGTATATTGATGGACAACTTACTATGCACTATGAGGGAAATTACATTAATTCTGGTGAAGACTGTTAAGAGGCATGTGTTGAATGTACTTTACAGCTGTTCATATAAGGGACAAGGAGGTAAGAATGGGAAATTTATTCTCAAGCAGAAAATTTGAATTATAAAGTGGATGATATTTGTGACTGTGGTGAAGGGGACACTGGAGAAATGGAAACAGGACACATACATCATGGTTTGGTATGCTTGGTGGTGGCAGACCTTCATTTAGACAGTCAGTTGGTGGAGTATAGCTATTGTTCCTGGTGTAATCATTTGTGATTACCTTATATGCACTCCTTGTTCCTTCCTTTGACTTTGCATTCAGCTTCCTTGCTTTGCTCTAAGATATTCTATAGCTTTCTACAGTTCTGGAAAGCCCCCAATTCTTGTAATTCACCAAAGATCAATACCTTTTTTAGGAAAACCATCTAATACCACACAGTAGTCAGGCCAAGATGGGAAAGTCAGTGTCTCACGTGCCCTGAAACAAAAGACTAAGTGACAAACCATTAGGGCTTAGTTAGGATATATGTACAGAGGCAGAAGTTTTCTTCCTCTTCCTCCTTCTCTTCTTCTCCTTCTTGGTTTTTTGAAACAGGCTTTCTCTTTGTAGTCTTGGCTGTCCTGGACTGACTTTGTAGACCAGGCTGTCCTCAAATTCATAGCAATCCTCCTGCCTCTTCTTCCCTGAGTGTTGGGATTAGAGGCGCGTGACACTGCACCCAGCTAAAAGTTGTATACTTAAGTCATTTCAAATCACAGACTATATAAATAGTGACACATCTTTCCTGTTGTTTATGCTATTTCTTAGAGCTGGCCCAGAACAGGGATTTAGCATGACTATTTCTTTTTTTGTGGTAGAAATAAATGGATGAATGTCTAGAAAATGAAAAGGTAAAAAGCAAAAAAAAAAAAAAAAAGGCAGCTGATGCTAAATCAGAGAAACAGAGAGATCAACAAGTGCTTGTGGATGAGTTCTGAGGATGAACACTGTGATGGTACATCTCAATTATCAACTTGATGGCATTCAGAACCACCATGGAAGCAAATCTCTGGGTCTGTCAGATGAACTGTCTAAATTAGATTCTTTGAGGCAGAAGACCCACTCTGAATGTGAGTAATACCATTCTAAGGACTTGAGTCCTCAGAATAAATAAAAAAGAGATGGTAAGCTGAGTGTTAGCCTTCATCTCTCTCTGCTTCCTGACTGTGGATGCAAGGGGGCTAGCTGCTTCAGCCTCCATCTTCGACATAATGACATTCACTCCTCAAATTGTAGGACAAAACGCTTTATTCCTTAAATTGCCTTCTCTTGATGTTTTGTGGCAAAAGTAACTATTATAAACACAAAAGCCTATAAGGAAAAGTTCCCTGTGTGGTTGTATTAGCATAATTGTACTAGCTGAGATGTACCTTTCCATCCCACTGTGGTAGTTTACCTTTTGAGATTCAGTGACATAGGTATCACTATCCTCCAGCTGTGGTGCAGCTCCTCTGACCAAGTATCTGTGGCAGCTTCAGTTTCTCTTATTTTCCTCTGACTTTGGGATTCTACTTCCTTAAAATTAGAAGGACTGGTTAGTTACTTTCTAAAATGCTGACCACATTCTCTAGCATCAAACTACAGACAAGCTTTGCCTCTTGGTCCAAACATTGCTCCTATGAGTTTGTGCTGGTAGCACAGATTACTGACAATATGGGGTGAAGCTGAGAGCTTTCTATTGGCATGTGCTCTTCAGACTCCACAAAACCATACACTTTCTTGCCCTCCCTGCATTTTGGGAATAGTTTCAGTCCCTGAGACCTGTCCATCTGGCCTGCCTTTCCACTTCAAAGGATCTTTACTGTCTTTTCACACAAGCAGCTATCTATTCTCTACTTGGCACCTTTGCCCTCCACATTCTTTCCTGTGCCTTTACAAACAGTTGCTATTGCCTGGAGTGCTCCTTCCAGAATATAATATTTAGCAGAAGTTTGGAAATTCAATTTTCTCTCCATTCATCAATTCGTGGAAGGAAAGAATGTCAAGATTTATTGCCCTGGCAATATCAATGACGATCTCATAACCACCTCTGCTCCTGAAACAGCCATAACTGACTTTCAAATGACATTTATTACTGGTATTCATTCTATAAACTTCTAGCAAGTGAACACCGGAGTTTGCTAAGTCCTATGAATTGACAAGAGGAAGCAGCTTTCCCTCCTCCCCTGTTTTCCTTAACTTCCTGGATTAAAGTTTTCCCTCTTCTGTGTTTTGCAGAATAACTTTATCTGGACCCTTCATATGGGCCTGTACTTGGAATATTATTTACAAATGCTATCGCCCTTGTTGAAATCTTAAGCTCTCTAAAGATTAGATCGGTTCCTCTTTTAAAAAGATTCTAAGGTACCCTGATGTCTGATACAGATGAGAATTTAAAAGCAGTTAATTTCAAGCTGTGGATAAATGAATGAATCTGAAACATTCGATAACAGTGACCTAAGGAGTTGCTGGGGGAGTCACTGAGACTCAATGTAAGCTCACACCAAAATCAATAAATGCCTACTAACTTATTAGACACCTATTATGTGCAAGACATAAAGGGAGTCCTGTGCCTGAGGTCTTTGATTATACTTCTCTGCCTCTCTAACTTTCTGCCATGGAAACCCAACTTAGAGTCCATGCTCTTTCTATCTATTTTTATCTTATTTATTTATTTATTTATTTATTTTGTGGAAAAGATGGGAGTGCTAGGTAGGAATACTCTGGGCTGTCATATCTCCATCTGGGGTTGTGTACTGCCAATTTACATTTTCTGAATGAGTTATTTCTGTGTACCTTCACAGCAGACAGCACAGTGTTGCCTTGCATATATTATATGTTCAATGGGTAATTGTCAACTGATTTTATGTAAGCAAGTGACAGCATACATACATTATAACAAAGTGAAGAGGCTGGGCTCTGAAAGAGTTAGGAGTCTTTCTTTAAAATACAATGCTGGAGTTAGGCTTAAAGTTCAAGTGCCCCTGCACCCTGCCCTGCTCTATCTCTAACAGGGCTGATCTGATAAGGCAGTGGAAGGGTGCTAAGACCTTTGCTCCCTCTCTGCAACTGAAAGCATTCTTAGCTTTCTAGTGGCCCCCACTGCCTCACTGGCTGTGGAGCTCTCCAGACCATAGATTCCTTTTTTGCACTAGCAAAAAAAGATGCTCTCTAATCTGAGGATCCTCTTCAACAATGCAGCTCTCAGAAAGAATCACAATTCTGTGGTTCGAAATTTTCGGTAAGTGATAGAGATTGGGATTGGGTCAGTGGTGAAAACTGGAACTACGTTTTGCAGGGGAGTGTACAAAGTGCCTTTTTCTGAAGAGTAATGGTGCCACAGTCAGCAGTTGCATGAGACAGCTGTCTCTAATTCTAGCTGGGTTTTCATAACTTGCTCATTCTGTAGTTGAATTTTACCATGCTAACCAAGGCAGGTACAACAGATTAAATATTCTCATCATCTTCCATTTGAGTACATTTTAAAGGAGCTACTGACTGAAGAAGGAAACTAGAGGAAGTAATTTACAGGGGCCTTCAACTCATATTTGTTTTTTTGAGAAAACATCATGTCACTCTAGGGTGTCAGAGCTAATCCAGTCCCTAAAAGAAAAAAAAAAAGCTTCAAATGGAAATGAACTGAATACTTAGAAAGAGCTGCTGCAAAGGAAACTCAAGTATCAGTATCTCTACAACTGCTTTTTTTAAAGTCAAAATTTGAAATTCATCTTTCAAATTATTGGTGGTGTATGCAAAAGAGACTACTTCTAAAGAATTAAATAAAAGCTTATTCAGTATCCACTATCAGCCACAGAGCACAGGTTGAGATTGCTGTGCCATATGCCAGCCATGAAGGTGGAGGGGAGAAGAGTTAGCTGGTAAGCAACGCTATCAGGTGGAGACCTTGTAGCCAGAAAGATTCTAGAATGGTTGTCTGGTCACAGTTAGAATTTCCCCAGAGCCACTTTGCAATCTAAACTGACCTGCGAAACAACCTCCCTGGGTTACTAAGTGAAGGCTCCAGCTGGAGCTGGAAGTTTCCTCACACTATTAAGAATTGTGTTTGTAATGGTGCTCCTGGGACGCCTTGCTCTCAAACTACCTGATAGAGCTAGTTTCACTGAACTCCATCTTTACCACCCCTTCTTTGGTGAGTATAAATAAGGCTTTCAGATGCAAGAATAATACTGTACTCATGTATTTTCTTGTTTTATAGACATATAGGATAAGAAGAGCCCAGAGAGATTGTCTATCACTTAGTGCCAAAGTCATATCATATAAATCCATTTTTAAAGCATGTGGGAAAAAAATCCTCAGGTTTTAACAAACTATAGAAAGGATTCCTGGAAGTATAGTCTCACGCTGAGCTTTTGGAACCTATGCAACTAGGCTACAGGCTTAGCATCATTACTAATTTGCTGCATGACCTTTAGCAAGTCACCAAACTTTGCTGCAATGTTACTTCACCTATAAAATGGATAGGCGTATGACCTATACTCCATATTATAGGGTGATTTAATCATTCTTTCAACAAATATTTATTGGGTACCTATTTTGTTCCATTCACTGTGCATTCTGTTAGAGATGCAATGGTAGATGAGCTGTGCTGGCTACTTTTATGTCAACTTGACAAAAGCTGGAGTCATTGGAGAGGAGGGAGTCTCAGTTGAAAAAAAAATGCTTCCAGAAAATTGGGCTATCAACAAGCCAGAAAGGCATTTTCTTAAGTAGTGATTGTTGGAGAGAACCCACCCCATTGTGGGTGATACCATCCCTGGGCTCGAGTTCCTGGGTTCTATAAGAAACCAGGCTTAGCAAGCATGGGGAGCAGGCCAATAGGTACCACTCCTTCATGGCCTCAGGATCCTGCCCTGTGTGAGTGCCTGTCCTGACTTCCTTTGATGATGAACTATGATACGGAAGCATGAACCAAATAAAGCCTTTCTTATCCAAGTTGCTTTAACCATGGTGTTTCATCACAGCAATAGAAACCTTAACTAGGATATAAGATACTTCATTCCAGCCACATGAACTCACACTCCAGTGATAATCAATGAGATAATTTGTGCAAAACCTGTAAAATAGCAGGTGAGTGCTCCCTGTTTTTCATTCCACCTCACTGGGTAACATCAGATAAAAGGGTGATTCAAATTTACTTAATAGTTTTTAAAGAAGAAAAATCACCGAGTTGGAAATAGTATGGTGAATAAATAACTGATGCTTAAAACTTAAACATATATCCATTTTAGCAAATTACATAGGACTTTATTTTTTTAATAATCATATCAGGTTGAATTTTACAAATAAAATATCTCTAAAATAATTGGCCTCTTTGATCACTACTAATTTTCTCTTGCTGATATATACTAGCCTCAGTACTAATTCTCTTTTTGATGTGTACTAGCCAGACTGCATTTCTAAAACCCCTAATAGGATCTGGAGCAAAATCCAGCTAAATTAGCCCAAACGTCTATTGGATTTTTGAAAATATGAAAACCATTTTGGACTTTGAGAAACTCAATAGTATTTGTCCTATTAAAAACAAGATAATACCATGCAGTGGTTTATATCTTGAAACTGACTGTATTGAGGACCACCTAGTAGGACAATTAGTAAAACACAGCTCAAAGTGTGTCAGAGAGGATTAACTTTTTTGGAAACCTTGCCTGTTCTCTCTGCTTTCTGGCTACCAAGATGTGAGCTATTATTGTTTGACACATCTTTTCCAACACAATGCACTGAAATTTCTGTAAGTCTGAAGGAAGTTATATTCTCTCTTAAGTTGTTCATATTGTCTATTTCATCACAATGTGACAAAAGCTATGAACACACGCTGAAATGGGTTTCAAAGAGTATTCTTATGTAGTGTGTGTATTTGTCATTCCTACTGCATTTAGTCATACTGCCTGCAATATAGATTAACTCTAAACTGCTAGTTTCTATTATGACCCTCAGACTTTGACAAGGCTCCCTCACAACAAAGAAAAGCACCCTGTAACCACTCTTACACTTTTGCTTTACCCAAATTTGACTTCTTTCTCATTTTTCCATGTCTGGGGGAAGGTGGAAGATCCCTGTTACACAGCATACCATATGAATTAACCATTAGAGGCTAAGAGGAAATGTGTGGCTAGAATTTGACAGTGCCACAAAAACTGAGGTTGAACAATTTTGAAATGAATAGTCATATATTGCAATGTTCATAATAAAGTAACAGCTGAAGTGGGGCTGAAGCCATGCACACAGACACCTGGATCAATCAGTTTTAGTCAGTTAATTTTTTTTCTTTTTTCTTTTCTACAAAATCAATAGTATCAGACACCGAGAATGGTGAAAACAGCAAATCAGCAGGCATTCCATCTCACACACAAGGCTATGCAGACTGGCTGGGTTTGGATAATGTGTTCTATGATTTGTTGCCTGTTAGGAAAACCACTTATAGCTTTTAAAGAAACCACTAAAAATCTCTTTCTTTGTCAGAGAAGACCAATTTATAAGTGCACTTCAATTTCATCTTCCAAATCGAAATTTCTTCAGAGAATATTGAGCTAAGCCAGCCAATTCTGTGGAGGTTATAGATTGAAGCCGGGGGTGACTGGTTTTCAGGTATTTCATTCCAGACCTCCATAAGGACTCACATAACTCATTATGCTTCCTTTGTCTCCCACACATGTCCACCCATATACACAGACACTACGATGAAGTGATCACAGACTGCACATAGAGGAGAGACAAGAATAAATGATCTTTGTTTGTGTTTTAATGTCAAATATTAAAATACCTTAATTTTTTTTCCTATTCTGATCACAGAAAACTATGTACGGCACAGGACCAAATTAGAATGGAGATATAGGTTCTCCTCTGGCCAACAGTGGATTTTTACAAAACTACCATTTATTAATTAAACTAAAATAATAGAAGCCATATATTTTTATAAGTCATAGCAAATTTGTTTTTAAATTTGGAAAAAGACTTGTGATTGTTCACACCAATGGAATCCATTCAAGAGTTTTGTGACTATAAAGCCTCTCAACTGCTTTCTAGGGTGCCTTTTTAAGAAAGTAAATGAGATTAAGTTGGCTATTGCAAATTCTTATGTTCATTAACTTTATGGATGTTGTGGGAGACAAAGCATGAAGAACCATTGACTTAGTTCCTTGGATCAGCTTTTCAGATAAGAAATGGAGGCCAGAACTGGCAAATGACCTTCCGAAGGTCATAGTTTATTACTTTCCCTTGGCTAAACTAGTACAAGATTCAACTATGTTAAAAAGTAGTGTTCTTTGTTCAGCTTACTAGGTAACTCACTTGGATACTGAGCTACCATGGGCAGGGGTTCTAGGTTATATCCATACTTGGTCCTTGGTTGGAGACACAGTCTCCTAAAAGACCCCTGTGCCCAGATATATTTGGTCCTTGTGGAGCTCCTGTTCACTCCAGGTCATACTAACTCCCCCTTCTTTCATACAATTCCCTGCACTCTGCGAAAGGTTTTGTTATGAGTCTCAGCATCTGCTTCGATACACTGCTAGGTAGAGTATTTCAGAGGCTCTATGTGGTAGGCTCCTGTCCTGTTATCTGTTTTATCCTACTTCCACTGTCCATCCAATTTGTCTTTCTAAGTGAGGATTGATCATCTTACCCCGGGTCCTCATTCTTGTTTAGCTTCTTTAGGTGTACAGATTTTAGTATGTTTATCCTATCTTATAGGTCTAGTACCCATTTATAAGTGAATATATACCAAGTGTGTCTTTCTGCTTCTGGGATACCTCATGCAGGATGCTCTATTTCTGATGGGAACTCAATGGCTTTCTCCCTCCACCCCTGCTGCCACCCAAGAGAGGAGCCGCCCTGCTAGGCCACAGAGGAGGACATTGCAGCCAGTCCTGAAGAAACCTGATAAGCTAGGGTCAGATGGAAGGGGAAGAGGACCTCCCCTATCAGTGGACTTAGAAAGGGGCAGGGAGGAGATGAGAGAGGGAGGGTAGGATTGGAAGGGAATGAGGAAACAGGCTACAGCTGGGATACAAAGTTAATAAACTGTAACGAATATTAAAAGAATAAAAATTTAATTAAAAAAAGTAGTGTTCCTACTCTGATACTTTGATTCCTCCAAATTGATGAGGTTGAACAACCTATAAAGGTCCAATATCCCTTCTTAAATATAGCCAAAATATGTAATGAAAGAAAGAGAAGGAAATACACTTTAACTTTCACATTATGTACAGTTATACAATGGAA